TTTAGCCACTTTTACAGTGATGAATATTGCGTTCGAGTTGAGTTACTAGTAATTACAAGCCTGATTTACATTTTTCTTGTGGTGTTTTTCGTCAATGTATTAAATATAAGTGCGTTGGGAAATAGCATAATTATATTGCGTGAGTGAAAGACGCTGGTAAGACTGTGTCACAACGCGTTCTATTTATTTCCAACGCGCGTGGTCGGCGCCTCTGATTGCGTTTATTTTGTATTTTTATTTTCGAAATGTATCACTGCATGCGTTTTTTTGTTATGTCTCGCAACTGAACTCCGAGCTGACCTTGTTTTGACTGTAAATACATTGTTTACATGAAATTCGAACACGCGCTGCGTTTGGGTGTTTTCCCCGTGTTTAATTATGCTTACATTGTAAATACTTAGGTACATTATAATTACTGAGTTATTTGTTAGCGAGTTGACGTTAGCCTGACATGATGGCGCGAGTGGCGGTTGCAGCCGTCGATGGAGGGCGCCACAAAGTATGCGAGAAGAAAGTACAGTGGGAGTATCTACCGACAGGAGCTCAGCGAAGTTGTATCCCAGCGCTATGAATTGTGGGTGTCAAAAATTTGCCTGTATAATTTTGTTAATGTAACCATGGAGGTTTTTTTGACCTCCATTCTCTAAGACAAGCCTACGTCACAAACTGGTCAAAATCCCCCAAACATTGCCAACAACCAATCACAGACTAGCTTAACAATAGCTTTTCCTGACGATAATACTTAGCAACGTTATTTTCCCCACGCTAACTTGAAAAATCTTTTGTTTTTGTCTCGTTTCCGGTCTGTCTTAGAGAATGATGTAACTACCGCCCTCCCATTCCATTTATATGGAAGTTATGTATGTGACCCTTCTCCCAAGCCTTGCATGCGCTTACGGCGCCCATACCGTCGGGATCCAGGTCGACACACGCCAACACAAGAACACGGTCGATAGCGCACGGTCATTTCACTGATATATGGATGCTCATTTCGGCGCGTCGCCGCATTGATTGATCGGACGTTCGAAGACATATCACTCCTACATAAATCCGCAGGGGACGGAGTTTTGTTCATTGTACGTATCCATCTGCAACTCGCTTTGAATCTACCACCACATAATTTTGTGTGCATAATTTATATTATCGTATAGTCATATCGAATTCCAGCATTCAATCGTTCAATTACAAACTGTTAGAACAGGTAAATGACGAACCTTTTTATTCAGCGTAGTGGTTTTAGTGCATTCGTGGCGATTTGATGGAATAGAAAATACGTTGGTTGTGACCACGGAGCAAGTGTGTGGAAGTCACTGCGTTTTCTGTGCCGTCTTGTCTTTCAGGTATTTTTTTTTGTTATTGTTTGTTATTAGAATACATCATGTCTCCGTAAACCAATTGTCGTCGGTATAAACTAGATTTATCAAAAATGTAAAAGAATGTGTCTGTATTACACTAATGTCTGTTGACGATGACCGCGAAATGTCGACCATGGAAAGAAAACACCATTTGTTGTTAAATTTTGAAGAACCGTATTTGTAGTTCTGTTCATATTATACAAACATTTTAAAAAGTGTACGTCTTATGATATAATATGTTTGTCCAAGTCTCCAATTTTACAGTTCATGGAACGAAAAATCAGGTTTCTCGTTATAAAAAAAAATATTATGCATATATTGAATATTCTTCGGGTTTGTATTTTTTTACGATTAATATCAAGATATACCATGTTGCATACGATCATTTCGCTAATTTAATATCCCCTACTTCGATGAACTACTGTAAAACAGGTATTTGTTGC